ATGACCTCACTGCAGCCTCAGCCCCTGAGCTCCAGTGATAATTAATCAATTGGTTAATTGAACTGTTCCAGCTGTGGTTCCTTTAAACCCAACAAACTCAAACTCCTGCCCATGTGTAGAACACTACAAGATCTAAGACAAACACTTTGAATTTCAAGATAAACTAAATTGTTTTGACTGTAATAAGGGACTTTAAGAATAAACTTTCTATTTTAGTGACACTGCTGGGTCCCAAGGTGAAGTTTAGACCCAGCCTTCACCTGAGCTGTGCCAGGTAGGGTTTTTTCCTGATAAATTGCAGAATTAGGTGGGTTTTGTCCATTAGGTTGCAAATAGTCTCCCAGCAAAGAGGAAACAAGATCTGCACCATGTTCCATCAGTTGCCACCCGCCCATAGAGGAAAAAACCCCAAACCCAGCAAAAAAGACATTTTCCCATCCTTTCATGGTGGACAGCACTCAGCAGGTGATGGAGTAGGTGATGGAACAGAGGTAGCACATCACAGGCAGTCAGGGTAGCACAACAGGTGTATCCCGAATATGCTGCAAATCAAACAAAAATTATCTGTTATCTAATAGATTCAAATAAAACCATCTCTCTACCACACTTGTACATCCAAGCAGGCACTGCATATTTTATTTTCCAACAGTATAACCCTGAGAGAGGAGGGGCAATTAAAGTCACCAGGGAGGAAGGTGAGCAAGAGGTAACTGCTGTTCTTTCAGCATCCCGGCACCAGTTCTGGAGACCAGAGACTCCAGTTTTTCCTGCACTATTAATGGCATGAGTTGTGTTTCCAAGCAGTACTGGCAGCTCATCTTTTAATCCAGGTAACTCATGTCCCCACCACAATATCACCACATGTGGGTATTCCTACCCAGCACATGTGCAGCTGAGTCCACTAAGCAGCAAAAGGGCCACCAAGGAAACGTCCTTCTCTCAGCAAGACATTGACCCAGGGACTTCTTGGGTGACCAGTGGTGCCGTGTCAGTGATGGTCCCCATGAGGATAAGGATGTTCTTGGTGAACTCAGAACACCTACAGAACCAGCACAATGGGGTGTCCCAATGCCAGTCTTAGCAGGCAGACACGATGCACGGACCTCACCACGTCCTGCAAGGCAAATACACATTGTTAAGGTTAATGAACAGGGCAACCTGTTTTGTGAAACATATTGGCACACCTGAATTTTTAATTTTAATTCCCTGCCCTGAAATACAGTCACTGGGTATCTATTTTAAAAGCATGGGAAAAGAAACACCCACTAGGAATTCATACACTTGTCCACATGTGAGGCAAGACATGAGTGACGTGAGCAGGACAAGACTCCACAGATATCAAGGGGAAAATAATACATTTCTCAATAAAGCTTCTCTAACACTTAAAATTCACGCATTCAGAAAGATGGTTGCTGGTCTGGAGTCCCACAAATTACAGTGGAGATACATGACAACTAAAAATTAGTTTATCATCCCTGTCACACTGCGAAACTCCTGCTGAAACCCAGAGCATCCCACAAGCAGGAGCAGCCTCGTCTCCACCATCCCGACACATGCCCAAGAATCTCCAGTCTCCCAGAATAAACTACCCCAGGCAGAGCTGGAAAACTTTCTCTTCCTTGACAGCACTTCCCCAGCTCTGCTACCCTTCTCTGGGCACCCTCCAGCATCTCAATGTCTTTCTTGTAGTGAGGGACCCAAAACTGAACACAATTTGAGGTGCAGCCTCCACACCTTTGGATGAGATTCAAGTTATGCTTCCTCAGGGAGGATAAATAAGTGTGTACTGCTGACTGTTGTTTCTTAAATCACTTGAGTTAATAGGCAAGAAATGCATTAAGATTAAAAAAAAAAGAAAAAAAAAATTAGAAGTTCTGGAAGAGAGGAGTGACCTAGAAAATCTAATTGTCCTCTGAACAGCAATTGCCCTAAGTTTGGAAGCTAAGTTTACTAATTAAGCTGAAACAGTAGATTTTAGTGGTGCTTAAAGTGCTAATTTCAACTCCTCTTTAAACCATGAGTCTCCAGCAAGTCTCTCAGCAATAACAGTAAAATGTTTTGCATAGGAATGCCTTACTGAGGGTCTGCAAAGCACCTCTGCTCTTCCTGAAGAGCTTCTTCCAGAAGCTTCTCCTCCTTCCAGCTGCAACCAGCCAGCCATCGTCCAAAGGCTTTCAAGACCAGTTCCTCCAGGCTAAAAGCCTGTTCCTGACTTTTGCCAGCAGCAGAGGATTTGTGGGAAAGGGAAAACCTTCATCTCTCCCTTTCCATGCATTCTCACAGTCCTTAACCACTCACTGAATTCAATCTGAAACCATAAGGGTCCCTATTCCTTCCAAACACTTCAGTGTTCTGGGTACCTCAGTCATTTCCCCCAAATTTAACTGTGCAGCAGAGAATATCTGTCATTAAAATCACCAGTCTTAGTGTCTCCGTGTGCTAATAGACAGGAAAAAAGGGAAAATGCAGGTATAACCTTGGATTTCAAAACATCAGCAACGTGTAGAGCAGCAAAGAGACAAAGCATCACTTTCTGACCAAGGTATTTTCAGAGAATCACAGTCCACAGCCCATGGAAAAAGATTATCCATATCACTGCATCTCTGGGGACCAACAGCACAGACAGACCGTAGGACAAATTCCTGCAAAAGGAATCCGATGTTATGTAGGAAAATAACACAGGAACAGCATCAGTTGGGTCAGTGTATATTAAATAATGAGGTCCCCAGTAATTAAACCCACCCAGACACACATTCTAACCCAGCTTGGAGAGGCAGGGACAGCAACAGAATGGAGTGTCACAGCTCTGGATTCCCACCCTATTTCAGGGTCACCCATGTCTGTCCTTAGGACACGAGCAGCACATGCAGTGATGGTTTTGGGGGGACAGTGTAAACTTTCCTCATCGCTTGCACATCACCCAGTCATGGAATCCCAGAATGGTCTGAGTTGGAAGGAAGCTTAAATCTCATCCAGTCTCACCCCCTGCCACAGGCAGGGACACCTTCCACTAGCCCAGGTTGCTCCAACCTGGCCTTGGAACACTTCCAGGGATGGGGCAGCCACAGCTTCTCTGGGCAACCTGTGCCAGGGCCTCCCCACCCTCGCAGCCAAGGATTTCTTCCACTATCCCACCTAACCCTGCCCTCTGGCAGTGGGAAGCCATTCCTCCTTGTCCTGGCACTCCAGGCCCCTTCAATGAGTTTTATTCCCTTCCAGCTTCAGTGGGACAGGTGTTACAGAAGATGCCAATCTCACACTCAGGCTGGCTGGGAACTGCTCTACAAACACAGCTACAGCCACAACAGCCTCATGTCTTCTTTCTACTCCATTGACCCAACCAACCTTGGTCATATCTCAAATACAGGACAGCTCTATCACCCAACACGATGACAAGTAATTTTGAGTGCTCTGTCCAAAGAAACCCTGCTGGGCTTGGAGCATGATCCCACTAAACCTGATAAAACACACAGCTGGATGATCGCTGTTTGCTCTTATTTACATCTATTCAAAGAAAAAAGAAACATCCTCACTAAAACCTACATTTTATGCAGCAAAACCCTCAGTAAGAGATTCAGCACTGCAAAGGTAACTCCAGGGCAGGAAAAACAACCAGTAAAAAGTAACATTACTGATCAAAGGGGAAAGAGATGGTTTTTGCCTTTCTTTTCAATCAAAGCTCAGTACATCAGGTTGTAACCTCTGCACGAAGCTTCCCGTTAATGGCAGCCAGTCTATAACAACTTGACACAGTGACCCTACTTCTGGGCCCAGGAGGATTATTAACAATCAGAGCACATCACAAGCTCTCGCTCTGGTACAGGAGATCAACATCAGCCCCAGTTAAAGACAACCAGATCCTGGAGAAACCAGTGCTCAGAGGGTCAGTTTGCTTTAGAATCCCAAATAACTGTCATGTCTGTGTGGGTGCCAAATGTGGGAGCCCAAAATGCTGCACTCACCTTGGTTTCTTTGCTCCTCAAGGTTCTTTTGTGGACAGCTGCCAGCAACAGAAAGCATTCATCTCCTTCCAGCCCTGCTCCAAAAGGAGAAAATACAAAAATAAAATACAAGAAATAAAATAAAATACAAAAATAAAATAAAATAAAATATGCCATGCTTACTCTTCCAAGGAGCTCCCGTGGGGCTGGGACCTGCGACCACCTTGAGCCAAGAAGGATGTTTCTGACCATCCCAAACTTGCTTGAGTTTTTGGAGCAGTGTAGCTCAGCAGGGATGTGTCCAGACTAAACAGGCTCTTGCACTCCTTAGAGGAGGACAGTAAAAGTGTTGAGGGATAGTAAAAACAATGCTGTTTGTGCTGCCTCGTTCACCCAGCCCAGCCCTCAGCCAAGCATGTGGCACAAACATTTTAGATGCTGATGATGAACTTTTTGATGATGATTAGTGATGTTCCCTCACTAATCCTCCTTAATGATGTTTTTGAAATTTGGTTTTGATCTTGGTGGCGGGAAGCACCTCCCCACACTGTTCTGCTGCAAACCAAAGGAGACACCAACAGCAAACCAGACACCCAGAACTGAAGGGTTTTTTTGGAAGTGACCAGCTCCAGGAAGGGAATAAAGCTGTTGGAGAAAAGCTGAGATCACTGCAGGGGTCTCACTTACCAAGACTATCCGTATGCCCAACCCCTATCAGCTGAAGCCACGATCTTGCTTTAAGGGTCTCTCTCCAAGCTGGGCCCTGCCCAGCAAACACCCTGTCTCCCAGACACACCAAAATCCATGCCAAACCTCCTTCCTCACCTATCTAACTCTGTTAAACACAAGCAGGAGAGCAGCTGCCTGCCAGTGCACACAGGGCACCTCCATCCTTTCCATCTACTGCCACCCCCCAGGCAGATGAATCCATGTTAAACTGCACACAGTCCCATCCCTCCAATATCTCATCCACCCCCAAACCATTCTGAAGCCAACGCTGCCTTAGCCGTGCCTTCGGCCTCGAGGCATTGTATTCAAGACATCCATCAAGATGGTGTGTTAAAGTACTTTATTGGATACTCTGCACATTAAGCTTTGTACAAAAACCTCTCCATTAACACCAGAGTGAGCGACAGCCACCAGGAGCTTTGAACACTGGCTCAGCTCCCTTCTGAAGAAGCAGAAGTGAAAGTAATGTTAAAAAAATAGCCAGATTGGCCACACCAAGTTGGACCCCACCAGCAAACCAGCCCTGCAGTCTGAGCTGCAGCACTGAGGATTAAAACCTCCATCCCAGACAAGTCTGGTTTGCTCTTGTGACCAAAGGGATGCACAGAAAAGGCTTCACAACTCCTGCTGTGCTCTGCCTCGGGGTCCTGCCTCCCGCTTCCGATGCTCTTCCATCAAGTGCCACTGTAGTTTATCAAGACTAATTAAAAACCTCATCTCAAGAGCTCAAAGCCAGCATGGAAGAAATTTTCATGCCTGCCAGGGCCTCATTTGTCATCCGAGCTGCTCTCGGGCAGCAGGGCACTGCGGGAGCCCTTGGTGCCTCTGCGCAGGCACAAACCACAGTCCAGCTCCACGTCGATGTCCCCGAACTTCAGCTGGCAGGACTCGTTGCAGCTGCAGGAGAGACAGTGACAGTGGTCAGGTGTTTGTGAGCAGCAGGAGCCGTCCTTGGAAGGCTGCTAAGGACTGTCTACCCTGCGGTGGCACCCAGCTCATCCTTCCCGGCCGAGCCACACTTGGACACTCATGGACACCCACTTTTCTCATCCCATGACACACACTAGTGATGGATTTCCCAGCCTAGCATGGGGTCTAGGGATTGCTCCTGGCCCCCCAGCTCCTGCACTGCTCCAGGCCCCCCAGGCCCCTCTCCACCACGTACCAGCGGGATGCAGCCGCGTTGGTGCCCACGACGGCGAGAGCGCCCAGGTAGTGCCAGCAGAAGCACATGGTGAGGAAGGTCAGGTTGCTGGGATCGCTCTGATCCCAGCCTGGTCCTCCCCAGGGAGGGGACAGCACAAACCCAATCTGGTCATAGACAAAAGAGATGTCAGGCTTTAGCACATCCCTCCTCTTTTCCTCCTGATTTTAGCCAAGCTGTTGCAGCTGACTACGAGCACAATTAACCCCAAGTAACACCTGGAGCACTGCCCTCGGCACCCCCAGGCACCCTTGTCTCTCCAGACTGACACAGGGGTGGGTTTCAGGAGGAGATGGATTCTCTGCAGACAATCCTTAGGGTTTGCAGGGCAGCCCAGCATGCCCAGAGAAAGACGATATCCCAAAGGTGACATTGCCAGGCTGTGCATTTCCCCCTAGGCCCAAAGCTGGCTGATTACATGAGAGATTTCCAGATGTTTCCAGTTACATGGAACAAGCAGAGGAAGAAAATGGACCTAATGAAATGAATAAAAACTCTTGATTTTGGTTTCCATCCCTTTTGGGCTCCGATTTCCATTTTCCAGCCATTTCCAGGTCTGTCCACACTGCCTATATTACACATGCACTTCTCCACAATGACAGCTCTGGCACCAAACCTCATTTCCTCTTCTTATTTACCATGATACACCAACCAGCCTACATGTTTAACCCCAACATATGTGCCATAAGGGGCAGAGCAGCCCTGCTCCGCTCATCTTCCTGGGTGCAAAGCTCAGAGAACAATGAATACATACGGACCTGCCAAAGCCAAGAGCCCTGCAGAAGGAAGGAGCTGGTCCTGAAGGTCTCTAGGATGATGTGGTCTCGGAGGAACACCTCCAGGAGGGCACAGAGGGCTCCAGCAAAGATGGCCATGGCCAGCAGGGAGTGGAGGTGGTGGTCCAGTGCAGCATCACTGTAGTCACGGAAACAGAAAAGCAAACCTGCCAAGATCCACACTGTATTAGCAAGAACACTCTGGGATCTGTTCTTTTAAAAAAAACATCTGAAAACAGACAACACTCTAGATTTTGCCATGATCTGCCTGGTGGGAAGAGCCAGACATCAACCAGGTTGCTGTCCCAACCTTCACCCTGCCAACACCACACAGCCCTGGCACTTGGGTCTGTTCTGCCCCCCGAAGAGCCCCTATTCCTGCAGGGCCCCCTGTGCCCCAGCCAGAGCTGTAGGGCTGCCAGGAGGAACACAGGGCTGGGGACCTTGAGCTCAGAAGATGGTGGGGAGCTTTGCATCAGAATTTGTCCCTCTGTGCATCCAATCAATCAAGGCGGGGGGACAACACCTTTTTGTGACTCCAGAGAGAGCCAGCTGCTTGTCACCAGGAGCAGCACATCCCTCCAGCATCCCCTGTACACCTGGGCCACCCAGCTGGATGGAATCCTTCCTATGGCCAGGTTCACATTTAGGGAGGAACAGGGAGGGGGTGACTTCAGCACACAGCCAGTGCCATCACACCTCCACAAACCTTCCAGCTCTGCCTGCACGAAGCCTTGCTGGTCCCAGAACAGCCCAGGAGCTGTCACACATCTGTCACACATCCATGAGCCCCGTGGTGCATCCCTGTCCCGTGTCCTGCCCTGCCCCAAGCACCAGGTGGGGCTCACCTTCGATGAGCAGAGCCACGGACAGCGAGAGCCGGTCCAGGCCGGGCGGCAGCTTGAGCCGGGACTGCGAGACCATGTCCATGATTCCAGAGAGAAGGAAGAAAAGGTAGATGGTGGAGTAGTGCCAGTGGGTGAGGTCTGTCCAGCTGCGCGTCTTGGGGCTGTACAGCTGCAGGTGGGGACCGGTGGGGACAAACTGCTCCACCAGGATCCCTGGACAGAGAGGGGAAAGGTCACCCTTGTCCTTTCACACAGGGGAAAGGACAAGGCTGCAGGAGAACTTCCCTTGCAGGGCTGAAGCCCAGAGGAAAACATCACAGTGTGCCACCAGCACATCCCCAAGCCCTCCCACACCAGCTGCAGATGTTTCCCATTACAAACAGCCCCAGTCTTATGGGATAAAGCAGTTGCAGCATCATTAGATATTGGGGCAGAGACTCATCATCATCTCTTACCTACTAGAGCAAAGAGAGCTTTGAGAGCCCCCTCAAAGATCTCTGCACGCTGGGTCCCAGAGCTTGGCTGGCCCTCAGCATCACCTTTCTTCCTCAGGTACTTCAGGGGGTACCTCACGGACCACCAGAGACCAAAGGCAAAGAAGAAAGTGCCCCGGAGAGCACTGCCGAGGAAACTCGTCGACATCGGGCTTGTGTTCTGGACCTGCAGGGACAAACAGTGCCTGGGGACTGACCCAAGGGAGATGTTGGACTGCTCCCTTGCTCAGCATCCTCAGGGATCCACATCCCAACAAAGAGGGTGTACGTGGCTCTGCCATCAGCTGCGAACAAGTAATACCAGAGGTGGGACATCACCGCGGGGAAGCTGCCACTCTGCCCCACTGTGCACACGTGTGTGCATAGATGTGGCTGCACACATAAAGTCATCAGGACTTAGTGCCGGAGAACAATATATAATATAGCACCCAAAAAAGCGTAACACCCAAGAAAACATAACAAAGTTTTTCCTAATAAAAAGCAACATGACAATTATTTCCTTAGACCATAAACTCCCTCCAAACTAGGCAATTACCAGGGTGTGAATCCAGCCCTGGATTCAGGAGCTCCAGTCAGCCAAGGCTTTGGCAGGAGGAAGCAACCCAGGAACCATTAACATTTCCAAAAGGAGCCTCATGTATATTCCACATAACCTTTGTTTGACACAAGGGAAGAGATTTCATCTCCAGAGGAAGAGATCCAAGACTAAAAGTCTTGACATTAAGTGGGATCAATGCCACTGAGCACCAGGCAGGATGGAGAGGAGCAAAGGTAGAGCAAATTTATATCCTGTAAAGTATTTAAGCCCATACCCAAATTCCTAGAAAAAAATCCCAGTGCAGCAAGTGCAGAGGGAATAAATAATGATCTAAGTGCTTAGAGCAGTAAGCCTTTGATATTACCTTGGGGTGGTCTTGTCCCTTCCAGCAAGACCTCTCTCCTTGCCCTCTGTAAGCTTCTACCACCTAAGGAGGACTCACTTTTCCCCTCCACGTGGTTTTCCGGTCCTTTTCTACAGCTGGGATGCGCAGAGAGGAAGGCATTACTCATCCCAAAGCTCCCACACCGACCTGCCCTTGCATCACAAATCACATCCTCACCGTGTTTATAAATACCAGAGCAAATTGCAGAGGCTGGATGAACAACTCCAGCACGTTTGCCAAGTCCTCCCACACTAGAAAGTAATTAGGCACTGCAAAAGGAGGGTAGGATGTGGCAAGTGCCTGGGGGGAGGGAGAGCTCTGCAAGACATCCCTGGTCAGGGCTGCAGCGCCCAAGTTGGTTGGACTGGCTCAGCCCTGAGTGGCAACCACGGGTTTGGATGTGGAAACCGTCATCATCCATTGCACCTGTGGGACACAGACAATCCAGGGAAGGCTCAAAACTGTGTTAAGGTTTCCTTCCAGGAGGGAAGTTACTAAACAGTCTTTCAGGGAGGTGAGAAATGCCCCATCCAGGAGCTGGTTTGAGGACCAGGGATGGCTCTCTGCTCTATTTTGGGTGCCCACATTAGGGTGAGGTGGCCCATGCCCCAGGAGAACCCAGGTTTTTCCTGATTATAGCCTGGACACTCAGTCCAGGGCACTTATCTTCCCTGCACAGACATCTACATGCCGGAGTGACTAACAACAAATGCGATTAAAGCCCATTTAGGCAGCACACAGTTGCACGATATATAACCAAATTTTACCATTGTCCTGTTGTGACTGCCAGGGCAACAGCCTGGGGCTGGAGTCAGGAGCGTACCCTGATCCAGAGACATGTCAGGAACGTTAATGTGACGTGATTAACTGGAGGAGAGGAGAGCAGAGACATCCCAGAGCCCAGAAATGACAAATGACATGTCCCCCCTGCAGCTCCAGAGGGTGCTCCAAAGTCACAGCAGCATCCAGCATTAACCCAGAGATCCATCGCCCCACATCCACCAACCATCCCCCCTTCATCTGAGTGACCAGCAGACCCAACCCACTGTTCCAGAGCTGTCCCTGGGATCTCTTACCCTGACCATCCCACTCCCCAGCAGAGCAGCCTTGCTCTACAGGGCCAGGGACCCTTTTGCTTTGAAACCTCTCAGCAGCTCAATCCAGCAAGGCTTTAGGGAGCTGCAATGAGTCCCCTTTGCTTCCCAGCACCTGGACACAGCACAGAATCATTGAATGGTTTGGGTTGGAAGTGATCTTAAAGGTCTCGTAATCCCACCCCCTGCCATGGGCAGGGACACTTTTCACTAGACCAGGTTGCTCCAAGCCCCATCCAATGTGGCCTTGAACACTTCCAGGGATCCGGGCATGTCCTGGGACATCTCTCCTTTAGCAGGGATGTCCCAAGCCCACCCTTAGTCAAGCAGAAATGTGCATGTAACCCACTCAAAAAACCCCCACCTTCTTTTATAAAACAACCACTCTTTTGCAGTGAAACCAGACATGTTTCCAAGCAACAGTCCATTTGCACAGCTCATATACTTGAAGCACAGGAGACATCCACAGAGCCCCTCAACCAGCCCAGTGAGCCCAGCCCTGACACCCCTCACCCCCAGCTGCCCCCACCCCGGCACTGAGCCCACGCTCACATAAAAGCTGATTAAGCTTCCAGTGAGCAGAGCCAGGGAAGAGCAGAGACACAGGGTTATTTATTCCTCCTGTGAGCTGGTTTGTCTGTCAGAGCCCCTGAAATATGGCTGCAGTCAGAAGTTATTACCTGAGCTGCCCTTCTCCCCCCACAGCTCCCAGGCTGTGCTGCTCTGCTTTAACATCCATATGGGAGCTGCCTGCTCTGCTTAGGAAGCCTTTCCTGACTGCTCCCAGCCTGCCCAGGTTCAGCTCAGGAGAGACAGCATTCCTGCCCAACTTCCAGGCTCTCCCCAGGAGCCACTGCAGCTCCAGATCCATCACTATTCATGATTTTGACCCCACTTGCCCCAGCTGATGAGGGGGGATCGATGCTCAGAGGGTGCCATCCCTGTGGATACACAAGCATTCCCTACAAGCACCCCTGGGTGCAACCATCAGCATCCCAGAATAGCCAACTTGTACACAGATGGCAAGACCAGCACCTGGCCATGGATGTTTGGAGGGTCTCCCTTATGTGGATCCTCCTCCATCCTTGGACACTTCCAGGGATGGGGCAGCCACAGCTTCTCTGGGCTATCTGGGCCAGGGTCTCACCACCCTCACAGCCAAGAATTCCATCCCAATATCCCATCTAACCCTGCCCTCTGCCAGTGGGAAGCCATTCCCCCTTGTCCTGCCACTCTATCCCTTGTCCCAAACCCCTCTCCAGCTCTCCTGGAGCCCCTTTAGGCATTGGAAGGGCTCTAAGTTTTCCCTGGAGCCTTCTCTTCTTCTCCAGGCTGAACAACCCCCATGATGTACCTCCAAAACACAATGAGCTCCTAAAAAGGGGATAAAACCATATATTTCTGGCAGACTGCCTCCATCAGCACCACTTCCACCACCATCATCACCCTGAACTTTGGTCTCCGAGAGATGGACTCTCCACTCCTCCCTTCTTCCCAAGCTCCAGCAGCCACAACCATCCCATGACACAGCTGCTCACTGGTGTATGGGTGGAAGAGTTTACCTGTGACTCCTGCCTGTCCTTCTCCCTCTCCAGAAGTGTCAGCAAGGAGGTTATTACTCGGAAGAGGCAGATAAAGGGAGAAGCCAACACGGGGAGGTGGCCCTCAGACAGGATGTTTGGAGCTGAACATCCTGCAGGCCAGTTCAAAGCACGCTGAGTCAACCAGCTTTCCCAACCTGGGACACCTCCTGTCTGCTCTTAAAAAAACAACCAGCAACTCTTCTGCAGTTTGCAACAAAAATCAGGAGGAGCAGCCAATTCCTGTTCCCATGGCAACCATGTATATTCAGTTATTATGATGGGCTTTGGGATGACTGGGAAAGGAGCCAAGAAAAGATAAGGCTGCAATGTGGTCTGACAGGGCCAGGCCCTGCTGGAAGTCTCTGAACTGGGTTGCCAGGGACATGATAACCCTTTTAGGGGGTCCAACCATATAAAAGTTGTCTAAGGGCAGGAGATTTTCAGCCAGGAGCTCACAAACCAGAGCAGAACCTTTGTGAGCTCCACCTCCCAGCCCACAGCAGCCAAGAAGGGGATGATGGCTCTCTCTCCCCCTCAGAATATGGGTTGGCAGGACACAGCAGTCTGTTTTACTCCTTTTTACCTCTCTAAAACTCAACACTGCCCAACACCAAGCACCCACAGACACAAACCATCTCTGACTTGCCCATCCCACTGCCAAGGACTGCACAGAGGAGCAAAGCAAGTGCCTCAAGGCAGAGAAACCCCACGGGCCACCTCAGTGTTCCCATCTCCCTCCACAGCACTGAACCGATGGTGCAGAAACACTCAGTATTGCTCTGGAGCCCTGTTCAAGCCCCCAGTCACAGGCACTAAAAACCACTCAGCACATTGCCAACGCAGGATTTCTCCCGTGGAATTGTGTGAGTCTTTCTCTCCCATAAAACCAACCCAAAACCACCCCCAGCAAACCCACAGGACAAGCCGTGCCGAGCACCACACACGGGAGCCCCAAGGCTGGAACAGCACAGAAGCAAAGCAGCTGCACAACCCTCCCCAGGGTGATGGGCTGTGTTCCAGCACAGCCAGAAAAGCCACCAAGCCATAGCCAGGAGCTTTTATTCCCATTATCTCCATATCAAGTGGGAGGAAGGAAGGAAAACAAGAGGTTGGTGGTGGTGCTGGCACACAACCATGCCACACACCCATCACTGCTCATCTCCAACGGTGCCTGAGGAGCAGGATGTGTGACAGAGGGATGAACACACCTGAAAAAGGGTCCTGGACCAGCAGGGAAGCCCAGAGCAGCAAAGGGGCTTCCACAAATGCAGTTTCACCCAAGTTTAAGCTCCAGGAGCTTGTTATAACACTGAATCCAAGCACAGGGAGAAATACAACCCTCACAGTTCTTCCTTACACACCTACCCCTGAAAACAATACAGAAAAAGAAACATACCTTTTTTGCTGGAAGAAACCCAGGAGCACCATCAGGGACCTCTTTCAGCTCAGTTTTCCTTTCTGCAACCACCCACCTCTACAAACTCCAAAGGGCAGCTTAGCACAAAGCCCTTTCCCAGGCAATAGGAGTCAAGTCCTTGGGGAAAGTGGGGAAAGGCAAGCAGGGAGGGCAGCAGCTGGAGAGTGAGGGGAGGAAATAAGGCCCAGAGGAAAAGTACCTGCTCAGAGGATCAATGTGCCTTTTTCCATGGAATTTAAAGGGTCAGCAAAGAGTAAAGCTCTTAGAGAAAGTTTCTATGAAAAGGCAAACTCGAATTACAGACAGTGAAAGATGTTTTTCGTGTGTTGAATGGTTGAGGAACGGGGGTTTCTACCCTTTTGACATCCCCACGAGAAAAATGAGGGTGAAACTGTGAGAAGTGGTTGTGAACAGCCCTGTGAGGAGAGACCTGGAGAAAGGATGGCAACCCCCCCCCAAATCCCAGAGTTGGTCACACACACCACGTGTGCTAAAATCACTGTGGGCAAAAACAGATGCAATTCCATTCCAGTTCCAGCACATGCCTGTCCCCATCTTCCTCCCAGGGAGAGACTGGGGGAGGCAGATCTGTGTCCCACACCCTCCAGCTTCTCTAATGTCCTCAAGCTAAACCTTGAACTGAATTTGATTTCATAGTTTTGTGTCCCTCTTTTCCTTTTTCTCTCTCAGCTGTAACTGCAACATCCTCTCCCTGAAGGTTCATCATCGGCCTCGGTGCTAATGAAAAATGTGATAATGTTTGCCTCCTTCCCGGGGGTGGGAGGAGGCACAATCTAATTAAAGGTTTGCCAGCAGCTCGAGTGCTGCAGATGGATGGTTGTTTGGGAAGTGCAAAGGATTACTATTATGATGATGATGATGATGACTGCTAACACCAGATTTCATAAACAGGCAACAGGGGAGGTGAAGCAGGTGGTAAAAGCATAGGTAGAACTTGTTCTGCTGCCCACACCTTGATCTCAGCCCTACATTAGTGTGGTGTGCAGGGAGATCCTATCTCTGCCCGAGGAATGAGTGGCTCGTGGATGGGCTGTGCTGGGCTCTTGATGAAGGGTTTGTCTTTCCCGTGGCAGGAAGAGCCAACTGCCAGGAAATTTGGCTGCTCTGAGGGGTGTTGTCTGTGCTCCTTTGTAGGAGAAGGGCAGGACTGGTGGGAGGATCAGCAGCTCCTTCCGGCCGTGGATGAGCAGGTCACTTGAGTGACAAAATTCAACATCAGTTACACAAGAGAGAAAACATCTCTGGGACATCCCACAGGGCATCCTGCTCCTTTTACAATCAGTGTGGCTACGGATACAAATGCATCCCCCAGCCCACTCCAGCTGCATGGCCAATGGGTCCAATACAAAGACACTATAATTCGGTTTATAGAATCATAGAATTATTTAGGTTTGAAAAAAACTCCAGGATCATCAAGTCCAACCTTCGAGTCCAGCCATCATATGCTGAAAAAAACAACAACTGATTGATATTAAAGTTGTGCTAAAAGCAATTCTCCCTGTAGGACTGTCCTAAAATATCTATAGGAAATAAATGCCAAGATGGCTTGTGGTTGCACCCCTCTGTATAATAAACCATCTCCAGACATCTTCATGCCTTTGGGGACCTAAATTATTTACAAACATGTTTTTTAGCTAAAATGAAAATCCTTAATTCTCACCCAGAAATGAACCCCAATTGTAGTTCCTTCCTTTAGCACAGGATCTCTCCTAATTCACTGACCTTCATACCTTGGGAAAGAATGTGCTCCAGAGCTGGAAAACAAATTAGTGAGTGCTCTGCTGACAGTCCTGGGATGTTTGTAGAAGCAGGGAGTTAATGAGGCAGACAGAAACTATTCCAGACACTGGGTGCTGCAGAGGGAAAAGGTGTTTTGTGGCCACATAGTGACAAGGGCCAAGGATTGAGAGCAGCAAGAAGAGCTGTGAAGAATTAAATAAACCCTCTCCCACTTTCGAAAGCAAGGAGTGCTTTCAAAAACCAAAGCCAACTTTCATCTGTGTGCCCTGGGATGGAAAAAAACTCTGGATTTTGGACGTGGGGTGGCTGCAAGGTGACTGCAACCAGCCTGGAGTATGCTCCTGGTGCCACCTGCTACTGCCCTCCTCTGGCTATTTACTGGGAATAGTGATGCTTGGGCTGGTTCCTGAAAGAAAATAATTTGGAGGAGAGCAGAAATAATTCAGGGGCCTTTTTGCTGGTCAATGAACTGATCTCTGTCCTGCAGCGCTGCAGTGACTCGGTTTGTCACCTTCCACCTGCCAATAGGAGGTGGCACTGCAAAATGGGTTGTGTCTCATTGCAGCAGCAAGAGGAATTCTTGAGATTTAGAAAAGCTAATCGGCTTTGGCAGGAAAAGAAACATCTGCAAAATGCTCCTTGTGTTCAGCAGTTACAACTGAGATTTTATTGTGGTGTTTATCAGATGGATTTAGGGAGATGCAGCTCTGCTGCTTCACTCTCCTCGCTCCGAGTCTGCACCTTCCAGTATCCAGCCCTGCACAATAAACTGGCTCAGCAGTGGGAATACAGGAAAGTTGGCATTCAAGGAAAGTTGGTTAGTCTTTATAGCACTGTTAGCAGCATTAATATCCAGGCTGCAGCTCTGGTGTCTGCAACAGGCTCTTTGCACATGGGGGATGGGGGTTAAAAGATGCCTTCCCTTGGACTTGCCAGGAGCTGCTTTTCTGTTCAGTCATGAACACGAGCACAAAAATCAGCTGCCATCCATCCCCCTCATTTCACAGCAGGGAGAAAACCTCAGTGCAGAGCATCCTTCCTGCCCCAGACATTGAGACATGAACAGTTGCAATTCACCTCATGCTATAAACATAAATATAGTTATGTATATATTTATTATATTTACTGTTTTTAATCCTCATACTCGCTACTGGCATATTTTCCTCCTGAATAGGAGGTGACATTTCCAGTCACTTTTTGCAAGAAATTAGCTGGCAAAGGCAGCCTAAAAACAAACCCTGTGCCTGTTTCATCTCCTTTCCAAGCTGAGGGGGTTTATTTTCAATGGAAAACTGGGACGTTTCATGACTCCCTGCTGCTTAACCATGTATGTTACAGTCCTCCAGGCTTTGCAGGTCTGAGGGATGGATTTGTCTAAGCTATTATTACACAGTCTATAATTTATCAGTCTTAAATTTAAGGATATCAGCTCAGTGAGGATTTTTATTTCCCATTTATTCACTCTCTCAGCCTTTAAGTGACCATGAAAACGATTAACAAAACCCCTCTTTAGTTCAAAGCTGCAGTGATAACATTTGTATTGTGTACAATCAAGCCCTGCTGGTGCAAAAATTGCCATAACCTCACATTCCACACTCTTTTCCTCATCCTCTTTGGGGTGGTGCCTTGCTCCAGAGGTACCTGACCTCAGCCTGGAGGTTTCCTTGACTTCAATCACAGCAGGTCAAAGCCTCCAGACTCTTGGAAAAGTCAGATGGCCAAAGGATGCCCTCCATCCCTATGGAAACACACCTGGCAACCCATGGGATGAAGCAAGCTTGTCATGTTGAATTTTCACGCTTCATTTTGTTGTTGAAAATCACTTAAAATGGTGCTTGCCCCTGAGCTGGCAATATCTGGGTACGGATGGAGGGCTCCTGCTCTCACGGGCTCAACCTGCTGCCCCACAGCACAACAGTGGTTCCTCTCACTCCT